TTTTTGAAAATCGGCTGATTTCCACCCTGTATGCGATGCCACGTGTCAGCACCAGGGGAAACCTTGGAGCCTACGCAACACCACGACGTAGATAAAGTCACCACGACGTGGTGTCGTTCTAGGAGCACTATAAATAGAGGCTCGGGGCTGCCTCATTCCTCACACCTTTACCCACTTCTTTCTCTCTCTAGAACCTCTCTCTAAGCCCCCCAACCCCCCCCCCCCCCAAGCCTAGGGAACCTCCCTAGCACGAGGCGGAAGCCCGGAGCACCCGACGGCTCCGAGAAGAAGAGCCTTTCGGCTCAGGAACGCTGCTCCAGCTGAGCCCGGTTTTGAGAAAAACCCGTTGTAAGTGAGCTACGCCTAACCTATCTTTAATATAGCTTATGTTTCAATATAGTAATGTTATTAGGACCTTAAAATAATTATTTAGGCTATTATTATGAGTTATATAAGAGTGTTGTTTAACGCTTATATAATAGTAATAATAGCTAGACTATTAATTAGTCTCGGTGAATATTAGACTAAACCCTAGTGGTAATGATACTAGGTTTTGTCGAACGAAGTTGTTTTAAGTAAACGAAGCATTGTCTGAGTACCGAGTCACCACCTTATCAGGTGAGTGCATAGTTACTTTCATCTTACACATAGATATGAAGTATTTAATATAAATTACATGCTATGTGTGCATATTGTCTGTATACTTGCCGTCTGTGCTGGGTGAAAGATTTTTATACATGTTTTAAATGATTTAAACTGTATATATATTTTATATCTACAAAATATGTTGGGTAAACATGGGTAGATGAAATATGAGTCGGATGATGAGGTAAGAGGTGAAACAGACCATGAGGTGAGGGTGAGAGGTGGACGATGTGAGAAGCCTTTTACCCAAATGTTGGCCCCGTCATCTAGCAGAGTATGGATGACAACCACGGACTATTCTAGACAGTCCAGTGGAACACTAGCAGGCTCGCAACCTGTAGGTGTTGTGAACGATGTGTTCATTGGTGTACTCTAAAAACCCATTGACCTGTATTGCGAGTGGACTCTCGAAAACGACACTGTCAATAAGCGAGATAACCCTGGCAGATGCGCCTAAAGGACTCTACCGGCAGAAACGCCTAATAGAGAACCTCATAACCCCAGCAGATGCGCCTAAAGGACTATACCGGCAGATGCGCCCCATAAAGAATGTCACAATTCTGGCAGATGCGCCTAAGTGATAATATTAGCAGTTGTGCTTGATAGATGTGTCATTAGCAACAATGGATTTCGTGCCTATTCCTTAGGATAATCCTTAGGAATGAATGAATGAGAAATAGTTGATTCTTAGGGTAGATCCTTAAGAGTAAAGAAGATAATGGGGATGGGTAATTGGGTTAACTGTTTGATGATTAAACATAATAATTATATTATTGTGGGTTGAAAACCCTATGTACTCACCAGGTTTCCCAACCTGACCCACTCAGTTTATTTATATCACAGGTGTTGATATGAAGTCACATTACACTAAGAGATTAAGGAGACATAAATCACTAGTGATAATGAATGTAAGTTCTGTTTATGCTTATGTTTATGTATTGACGATGACATCCCAAATGTTTTAAACTGAATAAAAATACTTTTCTACGAAAATGCTTTGATAACGTATTTATCATGTTTTACTGGGAACAAATTCCGCAACATTTTTATTAAAAGAGGTACTCTGATATTTATAAAGCATAAACAAAAACCGGTCTTTTCTGGCCGTGAAAATGGGGATGTCACATTTGGCAAGTATGAGCCTTCCCTCAAGTGTTGGACTTCATTTCAAGCTTATTTTTGCCATTTTAGGGCCTTAAAGCTTTGCATACACGTAAAGTTTGCAACTTTACGTGATAAGCAGGCCTTGGAAGGTTGGATCTGTAATCTGGAGCCTTTGCATGGATTAAAAAGCATTTGTATGGATGAAGGACTGAAGGGACTCGGCGAGTCGTATGAACGAATCGGCGAGTCCGATGAAGGTTGTCGCAGACTCGGCGAGTCAGTAGAGTGACTCGGCGGGTCCGATGAAGATTGTCTTGGACTCGGCGAGTCAGTCGATGACTCGACGAGTCGGCTAGGGTTTTTCCCAACCTTTGGACACGCATGAACTCGGCGAGTTATAGGGAAACTCGACGAGTCAACCAAGGATTTCACGACTTCTCGAGTTCAGGAAGGACTCGACGAGTCGGAGAACTACACTCGACGAGTCGGGTCAACATGGACTGTTGACCTTGACTGTTGACTTTGACTTTGACCAAGGGTTGACCAAGTTGACCTCTAGGGATATTTTGGTATTTGGAAATTTATGGAAAAAGGGTTTCATGGCAACTATAGGTGGTGGAGTTCGTGTTGGCGATTCGAGAGTTTGAGCCTATCATTTTCAGTGCGACATTGTGAGGTGAGTTATCCTCACTATACTCAAGGATCTAAGGCACCAAGGCTGGCCCTTTGAATTGTTATTGGTTATGTTATGCTAGTATGATCTGTTAGATCGGTATCCTAGAGGGTAGGATGATATTATGTGATATGTGGTATGACCTGTTAGTTCGGTATCCTAGAGGGTAGGATAATATTATGTGGTATGTGGTATGATCCGTTAGATCAGTTGTTGTCTATAGACTATTATGTGATTATCTATTATATGTGCACATGTTTGTTTGGCGGTTGAGGCTTATCTGCTTTGTGCGAAAGCCAATAGACCTGGGCATTCCAACCTGTTGGTCGTGGGCCGTGAGTATTCCATCCCGAGGATGATTGGTCTCATAGTATGTGGGCATTCCAGCCTGTTGGTTGTGGGCCTGGGGTATTCCATCCCGAGGATGATTTGACCCATAGTATGTTGGCATTCCAACCGGATGGTTGAGGGCCTGGGGTATTCCAACCCGATGGTTGACTGGACCCATAGTATGTTGTCTATGGTTATATGTGTATTGTTGTTGGTATGGGTATTTTGGGGGAACTCACTAAGCTTTCGGGCTTACAATTTCAGTTTATTGTTTCAGGTACATCAGGGGATCGCGGCAAGGCTAAGGCGTGATCGTACAACTCCTCATGTTTTTATTTATGTTTCTGGGATGAACTCTGATATTAGACTATTTTGAAAACAAGCTGTAATGATTTTTAATGGTTTGAATTGTTTTTAAATGTTTAAATTTGGCATGATTTTTATGGGTGTTACATTAAGGGGCAATGATATGCTAACTTCATGCATATCAAGACGTGCTTCACATATTGGAGCGATTTTTGGAATATTAATCGGCCTACTAATCTGCATATACGACCTTTTCCATTCTTTTTTGTTCATGTAACCATTATCCAATCCCACAAATCTTCATCCCTAAAAGGATCTATAAAGCAATGGAAAAGTTACAACTAATGACCATCATAAAGTTCTATATATTGAGGAGCAAAATTTGGAAAAATCATGTGAACCTTCATCTGAAGCAACTCCACTTCATGAGTATCATCTGGGATCCATTATCTACACCTGGACAAAGCTACACTTGATTTAAGTCTTGCAAGAACCATGTCAATGTCTATCTAAAAGCTAACAAAAAGATCTTTCACAAACCATCAGCTGGAGTATTTACATCATCGACCCTTACACCAAAAGCACCATCTTGGAATAACCAGACAAATAAAGTTCAATAAGTGTTTCTTCTAGTCTATAAATAGGAAAAGAGACATTAATCAAAATTTAAAGTAAAAAAAGAAACCAAGAGAATTCAATTTTCAAATAAAAGATTAAACTATTGATCAAAAGACGTACCATTCAGAAGGCATTGGTAGATTTTCAGGTAGACCATCGGTTAAACAGATTGTATCAACTGCGAAAAATACCATATAATTATTTACAACTAATCAACCACTCTATATTATTTTGACTAATAATGAAATTAAAACTAAGATGAACAAAAAAAAAAGAAATATCTAGATAGGTAAATTCACATGTTGTTTCATTGGGGGTTGCGTCCTCTACTACAATGCCTTCAAATCCCTCCTTGTTGCTCACATAATCAACTTTCACAGTTTCCACACCTACATATAATAACTTTAACTGTTATGTATGCCAAAAACCAAAAGGCAAAGCAACAGGAGTGGCACTCAAATGAAAAAAATATAAAAGAATGAGCCACTATCTAACGTTGCTTGTTGGATATCCTTCAAAACCGAAAATTAATTGCAAGACTAAACTACTATGGTATTATAGGTTAAAAAGAAACACCAAAGGAGGCAAAGATAGCATTTTGCGATAACCATGTACATCAAAAATTTTATTTGGGCAAATCATCGAACACTTGGCATGTGTTATGAAATAATTGGAACTTAGAAACAAAAAGAGATTCTTTTACCTTGTTAGCAGCAAAAGCATATACATGTATGTGTGAGTGATGGGTGTTCTGTGCATAGATAGATAGAGAGAAAGAGGGGTTTTCAGGTGGGAGTAAAAAAAAGAGAGTCAGAAACATAACCCATTCCCACTCAAATTCCTCTCATTTATACTATCTTTATCACCCACTCTTTTTCTTTGGAAAATTTTGAAGCAAAAAAAAAAGAAACGAAAGAACGAATCACAATCCAAAAGGCCATTAGGAGTTAGAAACATATACACCTTACCTTCAAACCCATTGATTTGTTGCTTCTGTTCTATCTTTTTCAGTAACCGTTAAATGCCTGAGAAGGAAAGCAAGTCGGAAGTAAGAGAGACTGAGAAGGAAGTGGCACATAATACAACAGAAAAATCGTGTAGTGATTGAAGTCATGTGATGGTGGAAGAGACATGGTGGTTTGGCTACCGTGTTTTGGGTATTAGTTTAGATTAGCATAGGCGGTGGGCGGATGTAGCAGTGGAGGTAAGGTGGTTGTTCAGTCAAATTTCTAGGGTTATTATAGAGACAGGGTAAGAGTAAATGGAAATCGATGGGAGTAGCAGGGGAATCGGGGGCGTATTGGAAGACTAAAACAAAGATAATATGGAGATAGTTGCGGATTCCAAACGATGTTCACCTACACTACTTGCCCTAAAGGAAATATGCTTGACTGATACCTGTATAGCTGATTTAGATGTGATTCCTTTGAATTTTACTGCAGTCAGCAACATCGATCTTCCTAGGAGCAACTTGAGTACCTAAAAGAAGAAATCAGTAGTAATTTTTTAACTAAGTAACAATCGATATGAAAAAACATTATATGAATTCAACAGAATGCATAGGGTATCAGATTCAAATTTGGAAAAGATTAGGTTCCTGATTTCTTGCTACTTACTTTCTGATTTTTGAAGATTGATTGCAGATTTTATGGATTGAGTTCAGCTAATTTGGTTGATTTTTGAATATTATAACCGAAATGCTGATATTAAGGAATTGAATGTGGACGGACGATCAAAATCATTGGGCGGAAAAAAGAGAGAGCAGAATGATGGTGGAAGGACATGTGGCATAAGACAGTGCTTAAAAGATGACACGTGGCTGGTTTAGGAGTGTTTTATTAAGCATGGAGAGGATATATATATATATATATATATATATATATATATATATATATATATATATATATATATATATATATATATATATCTTTTTCAGAAAAAACAAAACCACAACTTAACTTATGAACAAAAGTTAAATTAAAAAAGGAAAAGAAAAAAAATGACAGTGTGGATTATTTTTATAAGAATATCTTAATGCAAAACTTTTTCTTATAGCTAATTACTATAAAGTTGATTACGAGCACTTAATTTATTTGTATTATAGATGATAAGTCGTTTTGGTTTTTATATTGATAAGTTAATATATATGAATATGAAGTAATCAATATAATTGTATTTATTATATTTCAATCTATCTTATTAATTATTTTTTAGTTTTATTTTGTTACTAGGTTATAACCCATGTAGTATAACCCATGTAGTATAATAACTTAAAATATTTGTTATTTAATTTAAAAACTAATATACATTAAACTCGTAGGAATTAACATTAACCCGGTGATGTAATTATAACAAGAGTCGGGATTTGGTGGTTGGAATTGTAGAGTGGAGGAACATGTGGTGGAGATTTAGGAGTTTGTATTGAAATGCAGTCGATGCCACACAAGCCTTTCAACACTGTTGCTGGCCTGTCTCATTTCGCAACACAAATAAAAAAAGTGCAAGGGTGTGGGCTTCCACAGTAGCCTGTCCACCATTCGTCTCCGGCCACGTGTACTCCCTCTGTGAAGCTTGGATGGATTCCAGCCTCAAATTAAACCCTTTAATTTTCTATTTTCCTCCGCAAATAATCCACCCCCAAAATTGTTGTGGCTGAGATTTCTCCTCACTTCTTCGCCCCAAACTCTCGTCTCTCGTCGGCTCAACTCACTTCGCTTTTATTCTTTTACTCTCTTCTTCCTTCTTCCTTCTTCCTTCTTCATATCCCCCTTTCCTTTTTCTTCCTCCGGTTTCGATCCTTCAGATTTGGGTTTAACCATTGCCAGAGTATATACGTAGTGGTCGTGTCGTCATGGAAGATATCCGGTGAATCCTGTTCATGCTGATCAGATTCGAGATCGGAACTTCAGCCTTTGTCTTCAGCCATGGCGAGTATCTTCCAAGGTATCCCTTTTTTTCTTCTAGGGCTTTATTGCCCTTTCTGATAGGGGATCCTGTTTTCTTTTCCCTCCTTTTATTCAAGTGATTAAATTTTCTTTTTCTCTCTTATTCTTCATGGTTCATAAAGGTTTTGGCATCATCCGGCTCATTTTGGTGAGGATTCTGATAGGGAAATCTCTCTCTCTCTCTCTCTCTCTACTGTTACTTCTACTACTACTTGTTTCAGGTTCATAGAGAGTATGTATGTGTGTCTTTAATGCCTCCTCGCCTTGATTGGTTTTTAGTCGAATCCAGAAAATAAGAAAAATAAGTCGTATAATCACTCATATGTTGGAATGGTCATACTTTCAGTCAATCGATGATCTCAGAAATAGTAATTAGTTTCTGGATCTTGCTTTCTCTTCATGGACTTCTGCTGTTGTTACATCTCTGGTCTTTTGCAGTAGTGTTACGTTATCAGGTTTTGTTGATTACAACGGCTAAGCTATTTTCCTGCTTGGATGGTGCGAGGGATGAAAGAAGGCTTTTCTATCCCTTACTTGTTCCAGAGGATCTGAAGCAGCGCTGGTCCATCGATGGACACCTACTCATCATCTGGAGAAAAATTGAACATTAAGGTTTTTCTTTTTTTAACCAAAACCATCTATCTTATGCATTTTATCTTGTAAATTAAAATCAATTTATAGTTATCCTTCTATGACAGACAAGAAAACCGTATACAATAACTAAACAAAGAGAACGATGGACAGAAGAAGAGCATAATAGTTTTTTAGAAGCCCTGAAACTATATGGGCGAGCTTGGCAACGGATAGAAGGTATCTAGGTTGTTATACCAATGTATAACAGCTTATTCAGCATCTTGGTTTTCCTTTCCAAGGGGTTTTCATACTTCTTTCTACCTAATAACTTTACAATCCTTGCCTTGATTTCTAAAACCCTTATCCTTAATGGTTCTTGATTCCTGTATCCGCAAATTACATATATAAGTTTCCTGGTGGAAAAGTTTGTTGCGATTCTCTTATCCTTTTTGGTCCTCCAATTTTGGTGTTATTACAGAACACATAGGAACCAAGACTGCAGTCCAAATCAGAAGTCATGCCCAGAAATTCTTTACAAAGGTCAATAATTTTTTGTTTTTTTTTTTTCATATATCTTTCTTTATTATCATAGTTTCATTTTTATCATGAGATCTATCTCAAATACACCATGAGAATTCACTGTTCTACATATATATGTTGTTTGCTGATAATGTTCTCTACATACCTTGTTCTGCTTCTGCATTTGATATACGTCTGCTGTAATTGAGAATATATCTACTTTATTTGAATTTATATCCTTTATCAGTTTGAAATATAGTTATTGGGTTTCTTTTTGAACTTCCAAGTAAAATTTCATGTTAATGTTCGTTGGCAAGGGTAGAAATTGAGTCATTTTAGGCTTTGCTCTCATGGAAGCAATTGCCTTGTTTGGTCTTATGATGGAGACTTTTGATCTTATTTGTCAACCAAGATCCATCATTGGTTATTTGATTAGTCACTCCAATTTGTATTTTGGTCCTTTAACGTCAACAACAACAACAATACCCTAGTCCCATAAGAATGGGGTAAGTGGAAGGGTAGGGAGACTACTTTCATAGATGGCCTCCAACATAAAGGAATATATATATATATATATATATATATATATATATAATATATATATATATATATATATATAAAGATCCTTATCAAGTAAAATTCCGTTCCATTATTTATCCTCTTAATAGGTACTAACATGCACACATGTCCTTTTTGTAATAAATATATCAGCTGATCATTTCTTGTTCTTGGTTGAAGTTGAAATTTATTTCTTTCAAAATTCAGGGAGGGATGTTTTGCATAAACACCAAAGTGTTGGTTCTGTGCTAATATGTGTCTTTACTCTGCACATGGTGTACTTTGCATATATTAATTAGATTGTGATTTTAGAGTAAAAACATGGTTGTATTATTATTATATTTATTTAAAAGGGTGATTTTGTTTTTATAATAGTTGGAGAAGGAGGCGGTTGCTAAAGGAGTTCCAACAAGACAGGCTCTTGACATGGAAATTCCTCCCCCACGCCCTAAAAGGAAACCAAATTATCCTTATCCCAGAAAGACTGGGTCTGGCACTTGCCCCAAAACTCATCATCCAAATCCAAATCCAAAGGAGGAGGAGGACAATGCCACTCATCATCATCATCATCATCATCAACCAACTTTAGTTTCTTCTTTGCCATCTGGCATAGACCACCTCCACCTCCCAGAGGTATTTTTATTTTATCTATTCACTTGGGTATCAGATCAGTAAGTATACTCATTTTTCTTTAAAATTTAAATACCAGTACCATGAACAGAAACAAGAAGAAACTGCAAACACGAGTGAGCAAGTGGATGTGGAGAAGGAAGAACCTCCATGTGCATCATTGTCATCAGAAAATGATAATTCCATACCAAGAGGCGTTTTTAGAGACTTCATTAACCTTGATGAAACAAACGAATCTTACATCACCACCATTGAAACCAGAAAGTATCAGAAGAAATCAGATCAAGATGGCATGCACACATCTACTCACACCTCATTGTTTGACTTTCCGGAAGGTCAAAATCATGACGACAATACAATTACAAATACAAATACAAATGGTGTGCACAGCTACCCAAGGCATGTTCCTGTACAAGTTGTAGATGGAAATCAAGGAAATATTCCCACAGGCACAGAAGAGATGTCGACACTTGAAGAAAAGTTGGAACAAGTTCATAACAACCCCAACCCCAACCTATCTGTTAACAACAACATAGCTTCAAGATGTTGTTCAAGCTATCAGACAATTCCAACCTTCCATCCTCCTGTTTTCACCCACCCGTTTTCTGATAATCATAATAATAATAATAATAATAATGAAGAAGAGAATTACAGATCACTTCTCCATGTTTCATCCACAATCTCTAGCCTCATTGTTTCATCCCTGCTACAAAACCCTGCAGCCCATGCTGCAGCAAGCTTCGCTTCTAAGTTCTGGCATCCTCCTGGAAACACAAACACAGAAGCTTCTTCAGGAGATGATTCGGAAACTCCTAGTCCTAGCATGACTTCCATTGCTGCGGCTACTGTAGCAGCAGCAACCGCATGGTGGGCGGCTCATGGTCTTCTCCCTGTTTGTCCTCCTTTCTACCCAACTCCAACTCCAACTCCTTTTTCATTTGGCGCGCCACCACCACCACCACCAGTAACAGTCGAGGATGGAAATCAAGCAAGAGAAAAAGCTCCTCCGGAAAAGATCACAGACTCCTCATCGGAGGAGGAGGTGGAGGATTCAGAAGGGAAATTAAACACAGGATCGAATCCAGATGATACCACCAAGGGAACGGGAACGGGAACGGTGGTGGAGGAGACCAATGTTAATGTTCGCAAACAGGTTGACCGGTCTTCTTGTGGTTCTAACACGACTTCCAGCAGTGAAATTGAGACGGATGCTTTAGAGAAGAAGAATATAAAAGAAAAGGAAGAAACTGCTGCTGCTGCTGCTTCAGATGTAGTACCCGATCTTGATTCTATTTCCCGTACTAGTATTATTAGGGGGGGTAGAAGCACTATTAACCCTAACGAATCATGGAAGGAGGTCTCCGAAGAGGCAAGTCATCAAATCTAATTACAGTATTTTTTTTATTTAGGGTTTTTTTTATATTAATTAAATTGACTTGACTTGACTTACAGGGACGACTTGCTTTTCAAGCGCTGTTCTCGAGACAAGTACTGCCACAAAGCTTTTCAGATAGACATAATAATAATATTAATAATAATAATAATAATAATAATAGTAGTGGTGGTGGTGAGTTGGACCTCAACAGGATGATGTTGAGAGGTGAGAAAAACATGGAGGAAGGGCTATTGACGATAGGATTGGGGAATGTGAAGCTCAATGTTAACCACACACACACTCACACAGGATTCAAACCTTACAAGAGGTGTTCCATGGAGGCCAAAGAGAAGCCCGGATCGTCATCTAACCAGAATGATGACAAGGCTGCAAAGAGAATGAGGTTTCAAGCAGAGGGCTCAACTTGATGATATTCATACATACATGATTCGAAAGAGGAAGAGGAAACTTGTGTTGTATATTATGTTATTAGTCTTAAGTTTAGTCCTAAATCTCATCAAACTTCTTGTTGTGCTATGTTTTTTTTTTTTTTTTTTTTAATTTATTTATTTATTTACCTTTTATCTTTGCTGCTGAATAGAATGGACACAGCAGTTATATGCCGAATGTATTGGATTTAATCGTTATATTCCTCCTGATAACTGAGGAGAATGAAAACTCAACTTGGGGAAATCAATATTTTCAGCATTGAAATTTTTATTTTGTCTATAAATGTATCGTTTTAATAAGACTGATTTATATAAGGGTTATTGTCACTGTAGCCGTACAAAGCTAACTTTTACTGGCTAATTGGCGACTTTACCTACTTTAGTAGGTTTCCACTGCTACGTACTTTGCCATGTAGGAAGTACTTTGCCATGTAGGAAGAAAGCTGTTGACATGTTGCTTATTATGCCACTCGATGGGTCGTGGAGCCTATTCAGCAAACCTTGGAGCCTAAGGCTTCAAGTGGTGCCAATGTATATAAAGGCAATCATGTGAAATTTAAACAAATAAAACCCTAAAAGTATCATCTCCTTTTCAGCCAAAACCCACCGATCGAAACCCTTGGTATCACTATCGAACAATGGCGGCTCCACCACTCTCACCGGTATCTATAAATTTACGTGGTTCCCTACCCGTAAACGATCTACATTCGACCTTTTTGTGACTGTGAAGAGAAGATCATCGAGACACACCCCTCGCAGGACCACACCCCTCAGACACACGCCCTCTTCCCATTCGACCGAAGTTCGGTCCAATCCGGAGCCAACACCTCCGAGCCACCTGTCCGAAGCGAGCCTCCTCCCTTCGCCACCTGTCCGAACACGCGGCAGCCTCCCTTTGCTTCGGATCCGAGGCTTCGGCCTATATAAGGCATGCGAGACCTTCCAGATTTTTACACATTTTCACCCCATTTTCCATTGTTTTTCACTCCTTTCACTTCCACAAACTTATATACAACCCCTAAAGCCCCGATATCAAGTCTAAAACCCTAAGCAAGCCTCGAAGCTCCGAGATTCCCGAGAAAAACAACTTTCTCCAGTCGAAACTCTGCTCGATTTAAGCCGGTTTTTCGTCAAATAAACTCCTTTCCAGGAAACGAAACGCTGTCCAAATCACCACCTATCATGTGAGTTCATACCCCCGTATTTTCATAATTTCTACTGTTTTAAAGGGGGAATACAAGCATAACACAAGAACTTTGTGTTATAAAATCATGATTTCAAATCATGATAAAACGACATTAAATAATCAAAAAATACTCAAAACATTAGACTCTTTATTAAACTTACATTTTTCCCCAAAATTCATATTTGTATATAAATATGTATATAAATAAGATTTAAAAGGCTTAGGACTGATAACTCATTTTGTGTCCTTTTCCTTGTTTGGATGTGGGCTTATAGTACCGACTATTTGTCTGAGTGTCGTTTAAATTTTACTTATATATAGAATTGTGCATGTATATAAATATAAAAGTTATTTCATCAATTCAACTACCTTTGTAACATGTTGAGCAAGGGGTTACATGGAAAAATAGTTAAATACCGATTCAGAAAGTACATATAAATTATAATAGGTATAATTTATGATACATAGAACAATAATTCATGATTCAAGTATACTAAAATACACTGTTTTACAAGAAACAAGGGTTTTGATTCAAAACAAATCAAGGGTTTACAATTGTCAAAAACATGTTCGGAATACAAATTCAAGAACATACTGTCAATCATTTATTTCAGAATAATTGGGTTTTCATGACTAATATACATGTAACGTTTATATGCTTTTTATGAGTCATTCAATTCAGGTTGTTTAATTCATTTAGACAACCAAGGTAAAGTCTTGACATTATAACCAGAATCTCCAGCCAGGAGATCGAAACAAGTTGTGTGTAGATCTATATCGGGATTGACAACCCCGCACTCAGTCTGCTAGCTACAGTCAGGCATACACGCCAATGAGTGACAATTGTTATCAACAGTTTAAACGCCCACAAAGCGTTTGTTTCAGGCCATCATGTCTTAGTATGGTTATAATTAACTCATTAAAAAGATATTAACAATACGTTAGTGTATAATCAACTAAACGAAAGTACACCTTCAAAGTACCAGTTTACAGAATACAAACTACAATGGTTTAATACAGTTTCAATAACAGCTGGTGAAGCCAGGCACACTCTCAGTTACAAGTTTTACAAGTACAAAACATTGGTTTACAAATAGAACGATTTTATGAGAATAAAACTACTTTTTATATACAACAGAAAATATAGGATTTTCTGGAACAGTTTACATATGCAAGATACAAAGACACCCTTTTAAACACAAACACTTATGCACTCACTCAACTTTATGTTGATACTCCCTTTTTAAATTACTTGTATTCTCAGGGAAACAATAAACAGGTACTCCCCGAGCTTTTGAGAAGATGGAGCTACTTTGAGTCATATCTTCTTCTTTTGTATAATTATTTTGGTTTCAACATACAATGATTGAACACATGTACATACTTATACTTTTTAAATACAATGGTTGTTTGTACTTTGATTACTATGGTGCATGTGTTGTGATACTACAAATGAAGTCCTCCACCCCCGGACGTTTCCGCCGTCTGGTTTGGGGGTGTGACACTAAGTCATCTAATTAGGGTTTTGACTGAAACCCTAGTAGCTCAGCTATTTAAGGACCCTGGGGCTACAGATTTCGGCCACCTGAGAAACCCTAGAGTTACTATAGCCGAAATTGTGCCTCCTCCTCCTCTCTTCTACATCATCTTCTTGCCTTGGTGTTTGTAATCCATTAGAGGCATTTCATTTGTGATACTAAGCTCTTGAAGATTGAGGATTCTTGCAACTATTGAAAGGTATCATCTAAACTTCTTTTTATTATAGATCTTGTTTTCATAGTATGCTAGATTAGGGTTTACAAGCTTTGGATAAATTTGCATGTACAATAGAGAAACCTAGATCCAAAACTTTAGGGTTTTGCATGTGCATATAGGATGTTCTTTTGCTCAAAACCCATCAACTACCACATAATATCATATCATAATCATACTGTCAGACATATCTGGGTGCCCGATCTACCCTCCGGTTTATTTCAACCGGTTACGGGGCCTACTCCCCCCTTCTACCACTACCACATAATAACATATCATACAAGCACATGAATCTCTACAGATAGTGGCATACCAGACAATTATCACAAATACAACCATCTCTACTATAAACAACTACTAGTAGGCCGACATTGGTGCCTTCGACCCACTCATACAGGGAAGGTAACTCACCTCGAATACTAGAAGTAGCTGAAAATCCTCGGCTCCGAATGTCAACCCCACTCAAGCTCCTAAACATAACAGATTTCCTTAATTACCCTTTCATACTCATAACCCCTTACTTGTCAACTTGGTTAAAGTCAAAGTCCAAGGGTTAAATCTCTTAACCATCATTACCTCCTTTAAAAAGGTCTAAAATTTACCTCCTTCAAAAAGGTCTAAACTTTACCTCCTTAAGGCCCAAAGCCTTTATACAGTCGAATTCCGACCCACAACCCTGAAATAAGAAATGACAGGAATTAGGATGTTACATGATATGTCCATGATGTGGCCAAGAGGTCTCCACGTCGTGGTGGCCGTTGACTTTTGGTGAACGTTGACCGTTGACTTTTGACCAGTTTAACTTATGGTCAAACTTGGAGGATTTGGTTTGTAAATTGAGGATTTATCTCTTTTAGTGTTAAGTCGGTTCGCGGGATCGAGCATGGCAAGGTGTGAGGGTGTTGTTGTGCTTCTCTAGTTCTTTAGTGTCACAACTAGCATTCTAGCTAGGAAATTATGTACTCTTGTAAACATTATCTACTGTAAACTCGTAAACCCTAATTCATGTTATGCTTGAAGTTCAACCTATGGAAGCACATTCAAACCTAGATTCATCAAGTAAAGTTGAAAACCCTAGAAATCCCGGTTTAAGTCCATTATGGATTATGATTTCCTTATTGGGCCTAATGGGCCAATAAACTTCCAATGTGACTATTTTGGGCTTAGAACTCGTAATTGGGCTCTAATTCAACCCACTTTCATGAAACTTAACTTTTTGGGCCTTATAAGCCTAAAATGGACTAGTTTATCTTTAATGGGCCTTATTGGGCCATAACAAATTCAATTAGCTTTAATGGACTCAAATCCATTCTCTTATACAAAAATTAGGCCGTGATCTACCCTAAGGGCCCAATAGGCCGAAAACCATCAAATTGGGCCTCATATTATGGACTCAAGCATAAAAGGCCCAAGTCATTCTCTTCCTTCCCTCTCTCTCGGCCCAAGTAGAAAACAAAAAAATGGGGGGGGGGGGGGAAATGAGGGTTGACATTTGTAGTGCCACCTCCTTATTACACTTCATACTTCCATACATGGACCAACATGCATCTATAATGGTCACCTCACTCTCTCTCTCTTCTTCTTCTTAATACTTGCGGCCGAGAATCAACACACACAAAACATTTCATGTTCTCTCTAAGTAAAACATTCAAGAACATCCCTTCCCTCTCATCAAGACTTTTCGAGAATTAGAAGCATTTCAAGGAGATTTCATCCAAAAATCACTTCAAGCTACACTCTAGTGGTAAGATCTTGCAAACATATTTCCTTTCTACACTCATTCACTCTTCTTACCACCTTAAATTCATGATCATACTCCTAGAAACATACTAAGTTCGAGATCCACCCAAGGAAGCTTGCTAGGGCCGAAAATAGCATCAAACTCTTCCATTTCTTTCTTCAAATCGAAAACAACAAGCAAAGGTGAGTTCATACCCCTCTATTTTCGGTTTTCATATGATTTATGGGGGAGAATACAAGTAAAATGTGAAGATCTATGTGTATTTGTATGTTATGTGTGATTTCTTGTGTTTTTGTGGTAAATATGTACTAAAAATGAAAGATATTTCGAGATCTATAGTTCAAGAAGGAAAAATATGTGATCTAGGTCATACTTCACTTAACATGTCAAGATAAACTACTATACAAG